TGCAGCTTCTTCACGTCAGCCCAGAATGCCCTGTCAGTAATGACTTACTCAACCTTACAAGCGTCCCTCTGAATGTACGGTTGTCAATCCATGTTCGTCCAGGAGTCCCCCAATGGTAGGCCATGGAGGACTCTCTTGCACGTGATGAGTCGATCCAGCGTTACGAAGTAGGTTTTGAACTTGTCAAGGCAGGACGAGGGAGAACTCTGACCTTGACGCCCTTCTGTGCAGTCAGCTTTGTCCTCAATGCATATCGTGACCACTTGTGGTTCCTGGATAACTTCACCACCTTATTCGTTTTTTTTAATGATGTCTGCGGCCCACGGTTTGTTGTCCGCATCCTGCATGAAAAGGTCCATGCAATGTGCAGTGCATGGGATCCAGTAAATCTGCTGGAATTATCAATCTTGCCTGAACATGATGGTTGCACTCTTGTTGTCAGAGAATGAGTTAGTGGCGTTGATTTTGTCCACCCCGATCTCCCTGAAGAAATTATGACATCCCCGAACAACTGCAATAGCGTCATTTTTCTGGTCGTTGATATCCTTGCACTTGATGAACAATGGCTTTGACCGCCCTGCGAGGATGCAATTGACCAACGATCGGCCACAAATGGTTATCGTGCCATCTGTGATGAACGTGCAACCCGTGATCTCCCAATCATTGTTGAATCGATGTTGATGGCACGCTCCTCATCTTTCAACTTCCACTGCAAGCCATCCAGAAGAACACATCTTAGAGGGTTGTAGCCAGTAGGGATAAGCGGATGCTTGCCAACAGGTTGTGGTCCAAAACACGTGTTCACAAACTTTTTGTAAGACTTGCTCTTCACGACGTTGAAAAGGATCGCATTCTCAACAAAAAAACTCGATGCAGGTCCCGTTTGTCTCCTTCTGTTACGGGTTTTTTGCCCATCTAGCGATGGAAGCCTGCTTCGCGTGTCCCGTTTTGTTGGGGTGTGCTTGCGTTACATTGGCATGAGAAGGGGTTGCTCCCCCGTCATATGCGCGTCGCACAACGACACCCCTTCCCCCAACATCCTCCACCGCACTCCTTGACTGTGAACGTGATCGTTCAGCCCTCCCCACTTCTCTCCCTCCCTCATCGTCGTGGTCTAGTGTGACCTCTCCTCCCTCCATCACTGCTGCTGTCCTCTTGCTCCGCTCGTTGCACCAAATCCAACAAGTCAGGAGGCAATTTAGCCCCCACAGCATACAGCCTCCTCCTGATTGACAGTGTTCCGTGAGGGCAATGTGCAGTCTTTCTTTTCCAAATGAAGTGTTCGACTGTACGCGGTTGTCCCCCCACAAACTCACGGCCACACAACCTGCATCTAAGGCGGCGGCCCCCCCGGCTTCTGTCCTTCAACTTCTGACCGGGTGCCACCCACGTTCACACACAAAAATTGCCTCGGAATGTGGAATCCTCCCTGAACGGCTCCCTCTTTGCATTCGACGGTTCGAGACCTCTGTCTCCCGCCGAACTGTCAGTTGTCATGACAAGGATGTGGCAACTACTGAAGCGGGTCCTGCTGACACAGCGCTTGCAGATGTGCAGGCCGCTGATGTCGCACGTGCTGACGTGTCGGCTGCTGATAAGGCACCTGCACATGCACACAGAGTCACTGACGCGGGCAAGTCACTTTATCAAGCTTACGGAACTCCACACACAAAAAAAAAACGACCCTTGGGATTCCCGTCGGGCCGACGCCCTTCAAGTTGTCCGCCTCCTCCCAACCGTCCTCTTCGTCGTCCTCCTCCTCCTCCACCTCCTTAGCAAGCATACGAAGAAAAAAAAACTGACATGGCAGGGGAGGTGGAGGAAGTCAACGATGGGGAGGAGAAGTATGAGGTTGAGGACGATGGAGAGGAGGAGGTCGAAGAGGGTGATGGGGGGGAGGAGTCCCCCAACATGCTCCCAAGCATCGTCTTTCTGGTTCTCCTCCCCATTGCCTTCTTCGTCCTCCCCCTCCTGATCGTCCTCTTCTTCCTCCTCCTCCCCATCGTCGTCATCCTCTTTTTCCCTTCCCTTGCCACATCATCCTCCTCCTCCTCCCCAATGCCCTCTTCGACCTCCTCCTTCCCCCGCCGATCTTCCTCTTCCTGCTCCTCCTTCCAGATTCTCGTCATCATCCTCTTCTTCCCTTCCCCTGCCATGTTATCCTTATCCTTCTTCTCCTCCTTCCTCCTCATCCTCCCCATCGTCCTCTTCCTCCTCCTCCTCCCGATATTCGCCTTCCATCGTCATCATCCTCTTCTTCACCAACCTTGCCACATCATCCTCATTTTCCTCCCATCGCCCTTTTCCTCCTCCTCCTCCTCCCCATCATCCTCCTTCTCCTCCTCCTCCTCATCCTTAGCAAGCACGAGAAAAAAAAAAAAAAACTGAGGTGGCAGCTTGGCAGGGGAGGAGGAGGAAGTCAACGATGGGGAGGAGAACGAAATTAGTGATGGGAAGGAAGAGGAAGTCGACGATAGGGAGGAGGAAGAAGAAGCGATGGGGAGGGGAGGAAGAGGGAGATCGGGAGGAGGAGGTGGAAGATGAAGATCGGGAGGAGGAGGACGAAGAGGACGATGGGGAGGAGGAGGAGGAAGAAGGCGATGGGGAGGAGGAGGAGGAAAAAGGTGATGGGGAGGAAGAGGAAAAAGATGCTCAGGAGCGTCGTCTTCCTCCTCCTTCCCATCACCCTCTTCCCCCTCCTCCCCATTGTCCTCTTCCTCCTCCTCCTCCTGCTCCCGATCTTCCTTTTCCTTCTTCTCCTTCCATATTTTCATCGTCATCCTCTTTTTTCCCTCCCCTGCCACATCATCCTCCTTCTCCTCCCCATTGCCCTCTTCCTCCTCCTCCCCATCGTCCTCTTCCTCCTCCTCCCAATCTTCCTCTTCCTCCTCCTCCTCCTCCTCCTTCAAGTTTTTCGCCCCCATCCTTTTTTTTCCCTCCCCTGCGACGTCATCCTCCTTCTCCTCGCGATCTTCCTCTTCCTCCTCCTCCTCCTTCCAGATTCTCATTGTCATCCTCTTTTTCCCCTCCCCTGCTATGTCATCCTCCTTCTACTCTCCATCGCCCTCTTCCTCCTCTCCATCATCCTCTTCCTCCTCCTCCCCATCTTCCTCCTCCTCCCGACACCTTCCATTGCCGTCATCCTCTTCTTCACCACCCCAGCCACATCCTCCTCCTCCTCCCATTGCCCTCTTCCTCCTCCTCCTTCCCATCCTCCTCCTCGTCCTTAGCAAGCAGGAAAAAAAAAAAAAAAAAAAAAAAGCTGACGTGGCAGCCTGGCAGCGGAGGTGGAGGAAGTCAGCGATGGGGAGGAGAACGAAATTAGTGATGGGAAGGAGGAGGAAGTCGGCGATGAGGAGGAGGAGGAAGTAGCGATGGGGAGGGGAGGTTGAGGGGGATCGAGAGGAGGAGGTGGAAGATGAAGATCGGGAGGAGGAGGACGAAGAGGACGATGGGGAGGAGGAGGAGGAAGAAGGCGATGGGGAGGAGGAGGAAGAAGTCGATTGGGATGGAGCATCAGCAATTGGGAATGAAGGAAGAGGGAGAATGGGAGGAGGAGGTGGATCTCAATGATGGGGACATCGGGGAGGGGAGGAAGTCAACGATGGGGAGGGAGAAAGAGGGAGATCGGGAGGGGAGGAAGAGGGAGATCAGGAGGAGAAGCAGAAGAGGACGACGGGGAGGACGAGGAAGTCGGCAATGGGGAGGGAAGGAAGAGGGAGATCAGGAGGAGGAGAAGAGGACTACGGGGAGGACGAGGAATTCAGCAATGGGGAGGGGAGGAAGAGGGAGATCAGGAGTAGGAGAAGAAGAGGACGACGAGGAGGATGAGGAAGTCGGCGATGGGGAGGGGAGGAAGAGGGGAGATCGGGAGGAGGATAAGTAACAGGACGACGGGGAGAAGGACGGAGAGGGGGATGCGAAGCAGGAAGACGGCGAAGACGATCGGGAGGAGGAAGAGCAAGAGGATGAGGATGAAGTCGATGATGATGAGGAGGAGGAGGAGGAGGAGGAAGAGGATAACAGGGAAAAGGGTGTGGGAGGAGGAGAAGGTCGACGATGGGGAGGAGGAGGACGAAGTTGACGCTTCCACCGCGCACAACATCTTCATCCTTGTCCTTCTCGTTACCAAGGACAAGGCAAAAAAAAAAAAAAAAAAAAAAAAACTTACGTGGCAGGAGGAGGAAGAAAACGGCGATGGGGAAGAAGAGGAGGAGGAACAAGACAATGGGGAGGACGAAGGGGGACAAGGAGGAAGACGAAGAGGAGAAAGACGAGGAAAATGGCGATGGGGAGGAGCGAAGATGTCGGGTTACACGACGAGGAGGAGGATTACAAAGACGATGTTGGGAAGGAGGAGGGCAATGATGTCGGGTTACAGGACGAGAAGGAGCACGACGACGATGACAGGCGGGAGGAGGAGAAAGTTGACTTACCAATAATGGCGCCTCCCGGTGACGGCAGCAACTAGACGGCGAGGGCACGGCAGCAGCAGGCCTCCACGAAGATGGCGACGACGGTAGCTCGACGGCAAGGGCACATGCAGTGGCAAGCCACGTCAACAGCAACGTTCGACATGCACAGCGATGGGGGGGAGCAACAAACCAGCAACACTACAGCAGGGTGGAGGGGTGACGTGGGCCGGGGGGTAGACTTTTCCAGCACGAATTCAAAAAATGTGCCACGATGATATCCCCCCTGCCCAACGTCACCCCTCCACCCTCCACTGGGCGCCAACAGGCTACCCCAGCCCACCCCCAAGCCTACGGGGGCAAAATTGACCCCTCAAGTGGCCTGCTACCACCACGTACGTAGGCCTTAAAAATGGGTACACGCGTACACATACACGGTACGTACGTGCGTACGTGCGTACGTGTGTACATGTATGCGAGTATGCAGAGCACGTGTATGTGTACGTGGTGCTACCCAACCTTGCACCAAGTCTCAAGTTAATAATCCCCAAATCAGCAAGCGATCGTGAAGAACAATGGAGAACTAAGGCTTTCGGTGAATGTCGGGGATTTTTCAGCGAATACAGGCGAAATCCTCAAAAGGGAAAAAATATGAAAACGTCAGCCCACAATTCTTCGAGGAAAGCCCTTGAAGAACTTCAGTGAGGCACAAACCTTATAAGGGTTGTGCTCCACCGACTTACTTTGAGAATTTCCTTGAAGTCTCGGTAAGTACAGAGCTCTTCCTATAAGAATTTGTGGGGCTTCACCCGCGATGTCTTTTGTGACTCTTACGAAAACAACGCCTTTTGCAGTAGGGGCAAATCGTGTTGTCCATATCCACGAAGGCCAAAATTGTGGCTTGATACATTTAACCGTTGTAGGGGCCGTACCCTGAAGGACTTCGAGCCTGAGTCGACCCCATTGCGGGTCCCATTTGGCTCGACCCGCCCACGCTCACGCTCAGGGCGCGGGTCGTTCGTCCCAGGGGCACCCCCACCTAGTGCTATGAGATAGATGGGGATGGGCCTTCTGCGAGAGGGCTTTACATTGGGAGATGTAGCTCCGCTCTCGCGTTAGATGGTAGCTCTTTGATCACTCGTGGCGTTTTCTCAGTTGATGCCCAATTTTTATTTGGGACTTCTCATGTCCCCGGCAATCTCATTTCATTGTTCCCATGTGCCTCAAGTGTGCCATTTATTTTCCCGGTCGCGGGACCCCTGCCTTGCCGTCACCATTTATCGTTATGCTCTCCTATGCCTACGGCACCGTTTTTTAGTTTTATGGGCGTGCCGTGGCTCATTTCCCCTTGGCCTAGGCATCCCTATGCAGTCCGTTATTTCTCGGACTGCAGCCACAGCCAATGTTCTAGTCCCACAGCCCCACGTCGTGCCCCATGCCCAAGGAAAATGAAGCGTTAATTTCCTAAAGGCATCCGGGCTCAATTTTGGCTCCCGGAGCCCCAAAAACTTGTGTTTGCCCCTCCATATGCAGGCCATTGTAACTCGGACTGCAGTAGGGGCTGTTTTCATTATCCTAATGCCCCACAACTAGCCCCCAACTGAAAGGAAAAGAAACGGCTAACTCTCAAGTGCATCCGGTCTCCGTTTTGGCTTCCGGTGCACCTAAAACATGTGTTTAGCCTTCCCTAGGTGATCCGTTATTTTTCGGTTGCAAGGGACTTTGCTTTTCTTTGATTTTCTCTGCATAAATCAAAGAAAATTAAAGTCCTTTGGAACCGCCATATGCCAAAATGAATCTGGTCCAAAATGCCCTCCCTAGGTGGCCGTTTCGTCCGTTAGTGCCCTTTTGACTTTCCCCATTTTCTTCTCTTTTTCTTTTCTTTTCTTTTTCTTTTCTCTTTCCTCCACTTGTGGACAGTTGGGACTTGCCAGTCCCTACTTGCTGCAGTCCCAACTGACGGCCAACTCACTCATTCTCTCTCACCTCCCATTTTTTTTTTTTTTTTCTTTTTCTTTTTACATGCCAAGTGTCAACTAGTCGTGAAGGCTCTTTTTTCATTTTTCTTTTTTTTTATTTTCTTTTTTCTCCACTTGTGGACAGTTGGGACTTGTCAGTCCCTACTTGCTGCAGTCCCAACTGACGGCCAACTCACTCACTCCCTCTCACTCTCCTTGTCTCATTCTCCCACATTTTCTTTTTCTCTTTCTTTTTCTTTTTGTATGTCAAGTGTCAACTAGCCGTTAAGGCCCTTTTCTAGCCTCTTCCTCTTAGTTTTGGCCCTTCCTATGCCCAAGGGTCAGTCCATTATTTTTCGAACTGCAGTTGTGGCCCTTCCATGCCCTTGGGAGCCACCGTTTGCCTTTCTCTCTTCCAAACGGTAGGCCCCAAGACACCAGTTTTCTCCGGGAGGCCTATTTTCTCCGTTGAGTCCCTACGGACTCAATTTTCTTGGGGGAGGCCAACCCGAAATTTTTCGGGTTGCTCCTATGCCTCCCACCACTTGTTTCTTTGCTTTTTACTTTTCTTTTGGCCCTCCCGCTTGCTCCCACTAGTGCTTGCACTAGCGATGCTAATATTTTTGGCCGTCAAGATCTCCGATTTTGACAGTGCAACTTGTTTTATTTATTTGCACCACATGTCGTGCCGCCATTTTTCCTTGGGACGTCACAGTGCCCGCCACTTGTCCCGTACTAGTCCCCGACACTAGTCCTAGTCCCGTGTGGTTCCCGACACTTTGTCCCATCGGTACCGCATTCTTGCCCAGCCCCGTGTGGTCCCCGACACTTTGTCCCGCTGGTACCACATTTTTATCTAGTCTTTGGCACTTTGTCCCACCGGTACCACATTCTTACCCAGTCCCATGTGGTCCCCGACACTTTGTCCCATCGGTACATGTCCCGCCGACGGTCCCCAACACCTTTGTCATTTTTTCGCCTCATGGCGGCCCCCTCCCCTTGTCCTTCTCGTGTCCCGTACACCGCTCTTCTTGTTGTGACTCCTCACCCGCTTATGGCCATTTGGCCCATTCGGTGCCGCATCCCGGCGGCCCTCTTGGCCCGGCTAATCTCCTCAATTTTTCTGACTTCTTTTTTCCCTGTGATACACATCCTACGACACTACTTTTTCCGGCGGTCCTTCTCTTTTTCGGGGGAAGGGTCAACTTTGCTATTTTCTTGCGGTCCTTTGTCGCTTCCCGTTTCGTTAGTTTCTTCTTGGTTCAATGGTCCCAACGACTCTAGGCAGCCTCTAGATCCCCAAATGCCTGTGCCTATGCCTTCGGTTCTTTCATCCTTTTTGCCTCCGGTTTTCTCTGCCGTGCAAATTGATCATATACAGTCTCTCGAGTAACGGGATGTTATTCGGGACTCACCAGTCCTGACACCATGTTTCAACCACCGGTACTTGGCCCAGCTACTGGGTCCGAGCCTCGGTCGGCCGGTATCGGTGCACTTACATACCCTTACAAGGGTATCCGCCATGGTTTTTGCAAACGACTTAAAATAAGTTTGATTTAAAGTTTAAGTATACAGCGTGAGGTGCGACTGTGTCTGTAGTTTACGTTGACTGGGCAATTGATTAGAGTAAAGGGTGTGTGGACGCGCTGACTTGAGGCGCGCATGATCCTCTTTTTGTTGATGATTGAAGAACCAGCATGATCGAGGATTAAAGGGATTTTGTCTCCTGATTGGTGTGCTTGTATGTGACTTGTGCGTACGTACGGAGGGTGGCATCGACAACAAAGTGATTTCGGAAATATTTCGGTAGGTTTGCGCATCGCGCAGTGTTCGTTTATGAAGGTTTCCGTCAAATACTAGACTCAACTTTAGGCCTAGTGCGTTTGATTACGGTGTCTGACTTTCATCAGGAAGATTTAGGGATCAAGGCTAGCGAGCGGTGGCGAAGGAGTATCAGAACAACGTGGAGAAGCCGAAGGGTCGAGGGCCCGACGGGGGTTATCCCCCTTGTCTCTGCTACTAGAATGAGAGGGCGGTGTTGGTGATTCCGTAGCTCCGCCCATTGTTTATCGACGTTTAAAATTTTCCTAAATATTCTATTATTTATTAAAGTTATTGTTTTTCTTTTATGCTTTGGCGTTCCTTGGCCGAATGCGGCGCTGGGTTTAGAAGTTGTTGACCAGGCCGTAGAGCTAGCCGGGTGACATAAGATTTTGATCGTTTTGGGGTCATCACGGTGGTTGAGGATCACGAGTATACATCTCCTCTTGTTAGTGAAGTTCATTTATCCCATTCGTCGGGAATTATGGACCGAGCCCACAAGGCTAAGTGAACCTGAGTGGCGAAAACCCTCTGCGAGTATACTATTCACCCGTCGCGACCTGCTGTGAGGGAGTTTTTAGTGTGAGCTTGACCATTGGGACCCGTCCTGACTGGGCTTAAGTTAAGTTGTCACAGGCCCATGTCCTCCAAATCCTTGAGCCACGGTGACTGTGTATGAGTCGCATGGTTCAGCCCCATCTGTTTTCGAGGCTGACTGGAGTAGCAGGTGGGCTATTGGACATT